CTTGGTTCTTATTTTTCCCCCTTCCCCTGCCCTCCCTTCAACCCCTCCATCCCTCCTTATTTAAAAGACTTTGTTTCCATTTTTTCATTTTGTAACTTCCTTTTATCTTCTCCTTTTCAGTCCTTCGTTTACTCGTCTTTTGTTGTTGTTGTTGTTGATTTGTTTTTGTTTCAGACAGGGTCTCACTATATAGTTCAGGCTGGCCTTGAACTATGTACCCCAGGCTGGCCTGGAACTTGTGGCAGCCTCCCGAGTCCTGGGATTATAAGACATGTCACCACACCTTGTTCAAAATTTAAAAAAAAATTTTTTTTGGTACCAGGGATCAAACTCAAGACCTTGCGCTTGCAAGGCAGGCACAGTGCCACTGAGCTAAATCCCCAGACCTAAAAAAAATTTTTTTTAAGGGCTAGGAATGTAATTAAGTGCAGAGGTCTTGGGTTCAGTCTCCAGTACCACAAGAAGCAATTAATTTATTAACTAATCCCTGTAAAATATCATTTTGTCTATTTTATATAGTTGGGGTTCATACAAGATTTCATTTAAAGAAAAACTTAGCAGGGCTGGGGATTTAGCTCAGTGGTTCTGGCGCCTGCCTCGAAGGTGCAAGGTCCCGAGTGTGATCCCCAGTACCAAAAAAAAAAAAAGAAAGAAAAACTTAGCCAGGCTTGGTGGTCTAAATTCTGTAATCCCAGCACTTGGAAGGCTGAGGCAGGAAGATTACCATAAATTCAAGGCCAGCCTGAACTACAGGTGAGTTCAAAACCAGCCTAGACTATACGGCAAGAGCTTGTCTCAAAAAAACAAAAATAAATAAGAAAAACTTTAAAAAATTATTTCCAGTGGGCATGGCAACACATTCCTATAACCCCAGCACTCTGGGAGGCCTAGGCAATTTAGCAACTTATTGAGACCCTATCTCAAAAAATAAAAAAGCATAGGAGAGGAAGGGGGGAGGGGAGAGTCAGGGGAAGTAAAAAGTATGAAGATGTATTATTATGTACTTGTACCAACTCCCCATGATGAATATAATCTTTATATACTGTAAACAGGTTCATACTAATAAAAGTAAAGGACCAGAGATGTAGCTCAGTACAAAGGCCCTAGGTTCAATCTCCAGTACTGAAAAATTGTAAATAAATATTTCCAGAAGTCTAGTGGAATTATTAACAGCATGGAATTTAAGGCCAAACAAACCTGAGATCAGATCCCAGCTCTGACATTTCCACAGCTATGTGTTCTTAGGGACAACATCTTCCCTCCTTAAGCCTCACTTTTCTATCTATGTAATGGGGATCATAATGCTGACCTCACATAGGATTAAAAATATAGAATTCAAGTCGATGACCCTCAGAAATCCACACAACACCTCCATTTTACAGATACTAGGCAAATTAATTAACATAAATTTTATTGAACCCTGTGCAGGTGCTGATCTGAGCTTTGGGGAAGAGCACAAGGCTCTGTAGTCAGGACATGTTGAAGCAGAGGTGACTACACCTACAACATTCAACCCCCAGACTCCCTGAACAATAAGCTACTCCTCATCCATATAGCTACAATTGTGATAACACTGTCACAATGATGTTCTGGCCTGGGCAGCTGTGCCCAGAGCCCAGAAAGCTTGGCCACCAGCCTATCCCTCTCCTCTAGCTCTGGGATAAAACACACAAAGCCCTTAAGCCCCTGGCCAGAGAGCAGATTCTTCCCCCCATCACCTACCCTCCCATGCAATCACTCCATGGAAAAGTAGGGACTTAGCAAAAATTGGGGGGAAAGCAGGTCACAGTAAGGAGGATGGTAATCCCCCCCAGTGGCTGGCCAAAGCAGCCAGGCCCTGCAGCAGACAGGCTGTTTCTGCCTTCCACCAAGACTGGCTCTGAAAGACACTGGGAGCTCTGAAGTCCCACAGCATCCCTCCCAGCAGTATGTTCAAGCTGAGGGGTCTGCCCCAAGATGGCACATCTTCTATACTGGGGTCAGTTCCACTCCAAGTTCTCAATAACTGTAATAGTCCCCATGCTGGACTTAGAGATTCAATCTTTCATTCTACACACTCCACAAGTACACCTATTATTATTATTATTATTATTATTATTATTATTATTATTATTATTATTTTGGTACCGGGGATTGAACTCGGGACCTTGCGCTTGCGAGGCAGATGGTGGAACCACTGAGCTAAATCCCCAGCCCAAGTACATCTTTTATACCAGCCCTAGTTAGCTGTAGACACAAAGAGGACACTTTACCCTTGAGGAGTCCACAGTGAGGAATTCTGACCTGGACCTAGACAATAACAAGCCAGTACTGTCAGTACTGGGGCAGAAGTTTCCCAGGGGCTGCATAGATTTAAAGGTGGCTTTAATTCAGCTTGCAGTCAGGTTTAGGGGGTACTTCCTGGAGGTGATATTGAATAAGGAGGCATTCCCCAGGAGGAAATGGGGAAGGGTATTCTGAATTAAAAGGATAGATGTACGAAGACCCAGAAGAATGAAAGCCCTATTTTTCCTTCTGGACAATTCTAGTGGTCAAGGGGAAGGGGAAGTCTGGGGAGGATTTTTTTCTTGAAGCTTTTCCTTTGGGTGATATAAGAAGATGGGCAAGGGCGGGGAATGTAGCATGCCTGCCTCATAAGCGCAAGGTCCTGAGTTCAATCCCTGGTACAGAGAAAAAAAAAAAAAGGATGGGGAATGACCGGTTAATAGAAATGGGGATAAAAGTCAATGAATGGGGCTGGGGATTTAGCTCAGTGGTTCCACTGCCTGCTTCGCAAGCATAAGGTCCCGAGTTCGATCCCCTGTACCAAAAAAAAATGAAACAAAAGTCAATGAATGAAGTACAGGAACAAAGGGAAAGTCAGGGAAGAGAAGGAGTTAATTGAGGCATCAAGCTAGACATCAAAATGGGAGGATGGGGCTGGGAATTTAGCTCAGTGGGTTCACCACCTGCTGCACAAGCCCAAGGACGGGAGTTTGATCCCCAGTACCAAAAAAAAAAAAAAAAAAAACTTAAAATGGGAGGCTGTTTAGAAAGTATGGATGACATAGGATTCCTACATACCTGTGTGGAGATCTCTGGAGACATCTGCCAGTCAGGAGCCTAAGCAAGGATCTCATCAGGCCTGACTCTGTCCTGAGGAGTAACAGCCTCCCAGCATAGACTCCAGTGTAAGCCTGGCTTGCTGAACTCTGGGATCCCATGGCTCCCTCTTTCCTACCCGATTGCTTTAGGTCTCCTAATGCCATCTCTATTTCAGCCCACCTTTTCTGCATCACTTAGGTCACCTGTTACCCCCTATGTGCATGCTGCTTTGCTTCTCTGAAGCCTCCCTTGTCCCCAAGGACTGAGCAGGTAGCTCCTTCTTGCTGCTACATAGAGGGGCTGCAGGAGTGGGCAGATGTAAGCTAATGTGGCATCTTATAGACAGGGAAAGGAGTTTACGGTCCACAGGCATCAGTTTTTCAATTTAGAAAGTAGAGAATAAAGTGGAAGGAATGATAATAGAAACCATTGAGACCATGGTAGTGCTCACACAAGTCATGGAATGGAATAGGGTTACTTTTCCCTCTGAGGCCTTCTCTTGCCTCAGCTTCTGCCCATGCTAATTTTTCTCCTTCCTTTCCACTAGAATGAAAAGGGACTCCATATATACCATACACTCTTTCCAAAGTTTCCGAAAGTCTTTTTTTCCCCCAAGACTGGGACTCACTGTGTAGCCCAGGCTGACCTTGAACTCTCGATCCTCCTGCCTTAGCCTCCAGAGGGCTAGGATCACAGAGATGGGCCACCACGTCTGACATTTTTCCCCCCAAGATTGGGTTTTTTTGTTTTTGTTTTTTTGGTACCTGGGATTGAACTCAGGACCTTGCACTTGTGAGGCAGGTGGTAGCACCACTGAGCTAAATCCCTGGCCCCTTATGAGATTTGTTTTGATTCCATGTGGCATACTTCTCAAAGAACAAGCTTGTGGAGAGCAGGAGCCAGAGGATCCCTCATTATAACCCCAGTTTCTACAGCTTCAGATCCTGTAAGGGCTTGAATATGGACTCTGACAGGTGGTTGCACCTTCTAGAACAGGCCTCCCTGGACCAAGAGGAGGAAGGGACTGAGCATAGAATCTGCGTGTGTCTTGATGGCTGAGGTGCTAGTTCACCAGAGGGAAGAGGAACTGAGATGTCAGGGGCCTGGAGGCAGAAAGGAGGCTGGGGAGAGACCCTACATTAAAGGCAGGCTACCACCTCTACAGGGACCACCCATAGGAGGGGAAGGTAGGACCAAGAGTGTGGGCCTGAGAATCCTGCCCACAATCTGATCCTCCACCCCAGGAAGGCAGAGAATGGCTAGGCATTCCAGCAGATTTTGGGTCTCCACCAGAACTCTTGGGACCTGCGCGTAATGGAAAGTTCTGTGCTGCAGCAGGCAAAATGAAATGTTTGTAAGCAGGGAGATTGAGTCCCCAGTGGTGGCTTTAGGCCCCGCCCATACCATGCTGAGGATCAGCTTCTGGGGCCCCTGCCCAAGCCAGGCGGCCTGCGCAGCTGGGAAAAAGGAAGGAGCTAGTGCAAATATAAATACCTTTAATGAAAGCCTTTCATGCTCTGCAGAGCCAGGGTTGGAGGTGTGGTTGCTGCCACCAGCCCCTACCTGCTAGGCCAGGGGCCCCAGGAGACAAGCTAGGGCCAAAGCAGCAGCCAACAGGGAAGGCAGGGGGGCTGGGGCAGGTGCAGGCCCTGTCACCCTTAACGTCTCCTGGTTGGTTTCTGGGCCTGCATCACGCTCCCGAACACGCACTGGGGCACCACATAGAGTGTGTAAGTTATCCGGGTTCGGGGCCCGACGAGCTTCTTGCTGTAGTGACTCCCACACAGCAGCTGCCTCCTCTGGGCACCCCAACAGGACCCGAGAGGCACAGGCATGGAAGTCATTCCAGGACCTGTTAAGGAGTGGGATTAGGGAGGTTAGGGGGGACCAGGTTTGGAAGTGGTTAAGAAGAGGTTCATGCCCTGAAGGTGGCGCAGATCAGGCTGTGCCTCCCACGTGTCCACTGCCTCCCCCCTGCCCACTGCCTCCCCGCTGCTGGTACCTGCAGATAGTCTCCAGCTCGCCTCCGTGGCCCATGCCATCCCCCAGGCGGATGAGACACTCTGCGAAGCCCTGGTATATGGTATCACAACGATTTGGACCCTCTGTGGCTGCTGCTAGGGGAGGTACAAGAACTGGGGGGGGGGGGGGGGTGATAGGATGAGCCAGCCTGCCCCCAGCCCCCAGGGGCTTGTTTACCTGGTAGTGTTCTGGAGATGTGACTCAGCGTGAAAAGGGCACCCTAGGGAACTGAGCAGCATGTCTAGGGATCAACTGCCTTGGTCCCCTTCAAGGCAGGACCCAGATTGGGATGCAAGGGTAGGGAGACCATTGGTCCCAGGAGTTAAGTAGGTTCCTCCTCTGAGCTTCTGGAGCTCTAGGTCAGGTGATGATGGTGCATGAGGAGTTCAGATAGCGTGGAGGGGTTAAGGATCCAGAAGTATGGGACCACACACAGATGGGACAGTCTCTTGATTGCCCCCATGAGCTTTGTTTAACCTTCTACCTCCTCAGAGATAGGTTATGTCTCAGATGAGGCTGAGCAGGATAGAGAGGTCAGGATCCAGGCTAGACCCTCATAAAGAACCTCAGGGATCCCATGGCTGGTCCAGGAATTCTGTCAGTAGCCACAGGCTCCCTTTATCAGAAGAGGGGCTGCAGAATTTCAGGGTCCTCCCTCAGCCAGAGCTCATTTCCTGCCTCACTTTTAATTCTGAAGCCACTGTCACACATTCCCAGAACTCTCATAACTCCTCTTCACCTTGGCTCCCAGCTCCCACACATACCCTGTGCCCAGCCTGGCAGGGAACCTGTAAGAGAGGTGCAGGCTGGACCAGGTCCACGACCCCCATACTCACCAAATGGCACCAACACCAACAGCCTCAGGGCACGGGGTGGCTGCCTCCAGCAGCAGCAATAGCGGCAGCCGCGCATTGTCCCTGGCTGGGAGCCTAGTGAGGGAGCTACCCGATGCTGGAGAGCAGCCTGTCAGCCCAGCCCCCGGAGGGAGGGACCATGATTGGATGGGAGGCTGGGGCGGGGCCTGAAGCCAGCTGAAGGCTCCACCTGCAGTACCTAGATTGGCACAGATCTGTTGGACCTCATAAAGCAGAAATGCCCAGAGGCACACAGGGTGATGAGTAGCCTTAGGTCCCTTGCCCCAGAGTCTGAGTGGGTTATCTCAGAAGGAAGTTGAGCAGATGAGTGAGTAATTATGCCCAATGGGTGGTTTGGTGTATATAGACCTCCCGAGAGAAGGCAATTTCTGTTATATCAAAGACACACCAAATTCACACACATACTCCATTTTATTCAAAAAGCATTTAATTGAATTTCTCAATGTTTTTCAAAAACAAAAAAATCCAAATCAGAGGTAAAAAGGAACATGAAAACTCAACTCAAGTGGTGTCACAATCTCGGGGTCATGCTCCAGACACGGGAGAACCCAAGAAGGCACAGTACTTGCCCTGGGCCCAGCCTAACCCTGATGGCTACCACAGTCTGCAGACCACAGCCACTGCACCCTGTCCCCCACCCCCAAACACCCGAGGTGGAGGCCTGAGCAGGTAAACAGCAGACACAACCCCAACCCTGCCTTGGGCTAGGCCTGTCTGCTGGCCTTTAGTCCCACCCCACTCCAGCACAAGGCAAGCTTAGATGCTAAGGGAGGCTGGGGGTCACAAGGCCATGTAGTATCAGGCTGAGACGCCGGGCTGCTTTGCCAAGTGAGTTGTGTGGCTCAGCCTGCAGGAACTGGAAGAGTTTCTGTCGAACCTGGCCCATGACTGAGCCCATATGGTCTCGAGTGATGGGGTCGCTGTGGTCCAGGTGCATCACAGCCTCTTCCAGATAGCTGGGGGTAGGTTAAAAAGGACATGCTACAGATAGAAATGCCTCCTGGTGGCAATGAGACAAAGAGGGATTGGTGGTAACAGAAGCCTCTAAACCTCAGATGGATAGAGGTAGAGATGGGTGGAGAAAATTAAGGAGGGCTGTCAGGAGCAGTAGGTAACTCTGCTTGGAACTGCTCCTTCCCCATCTCCACTCCCCAGCTCATCTCCTAATGCCTGACTACCCTCACTTACCTGAGCTTGAGGTCAGTTCTAGTCCCAAGATCAGATGCCAGCTGCTGGATGAGGGAAAGGAGCACAGGCTGGGAGAGTGGGCAGGGTGGCTGCCCAAAAACCTGGGCTGGGTCCACAGTTTCACACACATACAGCACCAGGTTCAGGTCAGCAGCTGTCAGTGCCTGAGGGCAGAAAAGGGCAGCAGCATTTATAGCTAATATCAGGATGCAATGCCTGCTTGTCTGGTATGTGGCTTGGGGGAGGAAAACCACAGAGTAGCGTGCTGAGAGCTCCAGCAGGAGATGTTCAGGGACCCAGTGAGAGTACCAGAGGGCTATATGGTACCCTAGAAGATCAAATGATCAGAAAAGGTTTCCTGAGGAGGGTGCCCTCCTGAGGAAGGGAAAGTGAGTTGAAGAAGTCTATCTCAAAGTAGCAATACAGGTAATGGCTTGGAAACCAAAGAGTACCAGAAACAGTCTGCTAGACAGCCCAGAGCCTGGTGGAGAGTGTGGAATATATGGTGTGTGGGTCTTGTCAAGAGACACTTGACCCTTACTAGCAAAAAAACATGGTCATACCTGCTGGAAGGCCTGATTGAGGTGGCCCTGTTGTAGCAGCTGCAGGATATGAGCTTGCTGGGTGTGGCAGTCAAGGTGGGAAGAAGGGACAGGTGTGCCAGCAGCTGAGCGCATGGCCTGCATAATGCTGGAGGTGACGGCAGCCTGCTGCTCCTTGAGCGCCACACTTACTTCACCCTTAACAATGCGCTGTACCTGTGCTAAAATTGACTCCTGCAGGCTGCAAAGAAAGGAAGGCAGAAATGGGTAGGAATACTAGCCTGGCTCTTCCCAAACCCACCACCTTGTCCAGAGCCTTGCCCACACACCTGCCCACAGCTACGTGCAGCTGGTGCTGCACCTCAGCCCGAACACTGCTGGACACAGTGGCTGCCATCTGCTCTGTGGCACTCTGCAGTGTGCTGACCAGGCCCCGAAGCTGGGCCAGCACAGGCTCCCTGGCCTCCTGTTCCCGTACCTTCCGGCTTTTCATGTGGCTCTCTAGCTGCTGTAAGTCTAAGTGGGTGATCATGGAGACCATAAGAGGGATGGTAGTAGAAGAGGATAGCCCTTCCTACCTTGGGTCATATGACCCTACTCACATTCCTGGGTGCCCAGCCGAAAGCTATCATTGATCTGCTGGAACATGGCTTGACAGCTCTTCTCAAAGGCTGGCAGCACCACACTCTGAAAGGCTTCACGGTAGGCAGCTTGCATTGGCCCCTGTAATGTGTCTGCAGCAGCTCGGGCAATGGCATCTGTCAAGTTCTGGGGTAAAGGGAGAGTCCTAGTTGAAAGCCCAACCTGACCTGACAACAACCCCCTCCCCTCCAATTCTGAGCCCCTATAGCACCTTGGACTTGAGCAGCTTGGAGATGTTCTCTTTCATACTACCTTCCACGGCTGTGAGCTTGGTAGCCACTGAATTGTTCAATTGGCCAGCCACGGGCTCCAGACTCCTGGAGACACCTGGGGCAGGGGGAGGAGAGGAAGGCACACTTAGAAAAGGAAGCTTGACAGGTACCCCCTTCTCCCACCTGGCCCACCCACCCCACCCAAACGAAGTCTTCACAAAAAACTCACATGGAGGAACGGTCTTCTTGATCTCATCCCGTATGCTACGCTCCAGCCGCCCAGCTACAGCTGAAGACAGTGCCTGGGATAGCTGCTGTGTCAGCTGCTCCTGTAGCTGCCCACCCCGCTGCTGCCCCTCAGCCAGTGCCCGCTCCAGCCGCCTCTCTGCATTATAGCTAAGGAACAGGCCTGAAGCATCTCCCCTACCCCTTCCTGGTATGCCCTTTCCAAGAATGTCCCTGCCTCTCTGCCATGCTCTGCCATCACCCTGAAGGATACGTTCCTGCTCATGCCGTGTCTCAAGAGCACGTTCTACATGGCCTGTAACAGTACTCTGCAGGCCTTCAAGTTGGGTACACAAACGCTGTAGTAGCTCTTCTTGGCTGTGGCGTAGCTCTGCCAGCTCTCTCTGCTGCTGCCAAATTAGTGCTGGCCAGTCCTCAGGGACCTCTGCCACCTGTCAGTAGCACTGACAGTCACATGATAGCCAACCTGCCCATCCCCAGCCACTAGACAAAGGAATGGCCCAGAGCCCCTCCCACCCTCACAAGGTAGAGTCCCAGGGGTAGAAAGGTGTTTGTTTACCTTGTGCTCTGTGAGCCGGGATCCTACAGCTGAATCCCTGCCATGGGCAAGAGGAACCTTAGGCCATGTCAGGCAGCCTAGACACCACCCCTGTCCCTGGCCCCAGAAACCCCCATACCCATCATCCTTCTTGCTTTTCCTTTTGAGCTTGGGTGAGGTACGAGGAGATCCCTTGGTCTTCCAGTCCTTAGCAGGCAGCCGGGGAGTGGGAATTTTGGTTCCAAAGCCTGCTGAGGCAGAGGCAAGGCTGGCCACCTCATCATCATGGTCACTGTGAGAAGGGGAGAAAGGGAGTAAGCCCATCCACTTGCTGACCCTCTCTTGTGAAGGAACTCATATGAGGTGGTGCCCACCTTTGCTCAGCACTGGTGTCCTGGCTGTCATGTTGCTGCAGCAGATGGTAAGGTGGTCGGTGGAAAGCCAAGCTTTTGTGTTTTTCCTGAAGGCCATTCCTGGGGCTGAGGGGACAGGTCAACTCAGCATCGGATGATTCTGAGGCCCCCTCCCACCAGCACACTTTCTCCCTCCTAAGTTCCTCACCTCTCTGCCAGGGTGCTACAGGTCTCACGAGTAATGTCAGGTGCTGTAGGCCAGACCTGACTATCAGAGGTTGCAGCCTCCTGGGTCAAG